ATAAGACCCTTTATGGCGTCCCAGAGTACATTTTTAGGGTTCTTGGCTACAAGGCAACATACTTTTCTGTATCTAAGAGTCTTGTTTGTGCTGAAGACTGTTTCTGGACTGACTGGAATCAGTCACTGGTAGGTAGGTGGTTGTGTGGGTTGGTAGGGAGATGTCCCTGCAGTCGGTTGTGCCCAATGGTGCATACTAGTGGTAAACCCTCTTAGGCTTGGAATAATAGGAAAGGGCTTGGAGCACCCAATGTCCCAAGGAATGTACTTTTTTGATGGTAGATTAGGAGGCATTTATTGAGAATAACAACAAGTACATCAAACCAACACATCTTTTCTCCTAAAACGCGTTGGTTTGATGTTCTTGTCGTTATTCTCAATAAATGCCTCTTTTGGACATCAGGCACTCCTTCTTTCCTGTTATTCTAAGTATCTAAGAATCTGATCCTTTCTGAACCTGAGGCATCTGTTCCCATATGGAAGAAAAATATATTTGAAATATATTTTAAAAATTTTCTTCCCAAATATATTGACATATATTTGAAATGCTACAATTTTGGCCGTATTCAATATATTTCAAAATATATTTCAAAAAAAAAAAAAAATATATATATATATATATATATATATATATATATATATATACTGTATGTTTAAATGCATTTTTAATTACAAAATATATGAAAAATATTTTTAAAAATACATTTCAAATATACTGTATGTCTTTAAAAATACAAATCTACATTTTTGGAATGCATTTACAAATATACGTAAAAAATATATGTTAAAATGACTTTTTTATATGTTAAAAAAAAACTAAAGAATATATTTTTAAAAATATATATATTTAAAAATATATGTATTTTTAAATATGTCAATATATTTGGGAAGAATATTTTTAAAATATATTTCAAATATATTTTTCTTCCATATGGGTTGGCATCATGAAAGACAACAGCACTATCGGTAGTCACCACAAACCCAAATCCAGGTCACCTTACCCCGAATGCATCTAAAGGCAAGCTAGATTGGACTTTCTTATGAATCTGATTTTTTTTTTTTCACTTTATTGTTTAATTCTCAAATGCATTCATTATTTTCAGTCAATTTTATTTTGTATCTAAATCCCATTGAGATGCCATCTATGTCCTCCCTTAAGCCACAGACGCTCTTTATATATCTCATCACCACATAGGCAGATATTTGTGATCTGATGAATATGTTACATGATGTCAGGTAACATTTGCTGTCCATACCAAACTAAAAGGTTAGGGAGGAAAAGGTTTCTAGCTATAACCCTCATTTCTAGTATAGGTACCTGAAGTAATTTGTGTTTAATCTCCTGAACACTTGACCTAAAATTCAGAGAGGAAGGCCATCAATATATTGTTGCATTGTACAATATTGTCAGGCTAGAGCTCTGCATTAGCAGAATTTCAGCAGTCATTTTATCCTGCAGTCACCTGTCCAGTGGGTGAGTAACAGGATCATGATTTCAGGGGAAGGGGGTATTGAACTGTAGACATGGACATGTAGGAAGCCTGCTGCCATTAGGACATATTTGTGGAGCATTCAATGAATGTGGATTTCCAGGACTTCTCCAGAGCCTCTCCCATCCTATGGAACTCCCTACCCAATCTTTCAGACTGTCTCCTACTCTGTTCACCTTTAGGCGATCCCTGCAAACCCTTCTCTTCAGAAAAGAGTATCCTACCCCCACCTAACAAAAGCACGTTTTGTCCATCTTCTCATCCCCCACAGTTATTATTATTATACAGGATTTATGGCGCCAACAGTTTGCTCAGCACTTTACAATATAAAGGGAGACAATACAGCAACAATACAGTTCAATACAAGAGGGATAGGAGGGCCCTGATCCTGGGAGCTTACAATCTAGGAGATTGTAAGACAGTTATTAAACTTTGTTTCTCCTGACCCTCCCTTTTAGATTGTAAGCTCTAATGATCAGGGCCCTCTGATTCCTCACACATTGAATTGTATTGTAACTGTACTGTCTGCCCTCATGTTGTAAAGACGCTATATAAATCCTGAAAAATATATATTAATAATAATAATTGTTTTGTGAGTATTTATTAAGTTTGATTATACATGCAATCCCGAGGGTTTTATTTAGATTTTGCTTTCCATGTTTGTAATAGTTTTGCACATTTTAAGGCTCCATGCGTTTTTTTTTCAAGCTATAAAAATGCTGTTAATACGTTTTTTAGGGAACACTTTTTAGCTTTTAGGAGCATAAAGAAGCGTTTGGCATTTTTTTTCTGCTGAAAAAACACTCCAAAAAACTCTACAAAAACAATTTTTTTCTTTAGACACTAAAAAAAAAGTTTGATTTTTAAATAATATAGTTTAAATATTGATTTCCACAACTCTGCAATTTATACATATGGATTAAAAGTGACTTCTAAATGAATAATCACAGTTACTCCTGAACATATTCTAACTGGTGCTGTATGTATATGTATTATTAATCTGTATTTTGGTTTTACTGTCTTTAGGGGGGTGGTAAGATCAGAATTATTTTTAGACAGGTTTTCCTGTGACACTGTCCACTTTGATCAGATTTATTGCTCAATCAATTTAGCTAATTTGTATATTTCATTAAATAACAATAATTTAAAGGCCGGATAAAGTCTCACAACTGTTTTGCTTATTTATAAACCTGCACTGCTGTATGTTATGATTTGCAACCAAATTTCACTTGCAAATGGCTAAAGTTGAAAATTTTTAGTTTAAAAAAAAAAAAAAAAAAGCACAAGGGACAGTACTTACATTTAATGAGAAGTAGCCGTGTGCTGGTGCTGGCTGTTCTATTTCAAATTTTCTGTCCTCAACCCCCCAACAGTACTATGATACTTTGACTGGCAAGTACTCGGTCATGCTACATTGTACCCAAATTAATTTTATATAATTTTTTTTGGGGGAAAATGCACATTTATTCATTTATTCAGCAATGGGGGTTTTTTTTTTTACAATATAAAGGAAAACAGAGTGAATATTTAAAAATATTTCCCTTAGTTTCTGTTATAAAACTTTGCAATAAATCTTTATAAACAGCAAAATGTATTCCTTGGTTAAAAAAAAAAAAGTTTACAGTAAATTGTTTAGTCTGTGTAAAAGTTATAGAGTCTACAAACTATGATATTTATTTTTGAAATTTCTCAACCCAAAAAGAAAAAGTATAAACACCCCCCAAAATGATATGTTTATGGAAAGTCAACACCCCAAGGTTTTTAGTATGAGGCATAGTGAGTTTTTGTGAAGTTGTAATAATTTGACACAATTTTTTTTTTTTCACATACAACATTGACATATTTACAATTACACCCCAAAACACATTTTACTTCCACTCCTACCTTGTATGGGGATACAATATTTGTGAGACATTTCCTACCTAGATACATAGAGGTTCTCCCAAAGGAGCACCTTCAGGCTTTAAAGAAGTGAAAATAAGTCATCTCATCATTTCCTGAACAGCCAGAACAGTAGAAATGAAACACCCACATAATGACCACATTTTAGAAAGCACACCCTCTAATGTATTTTTTACTAAGAGGTATGGGGAGTCTTTTAGGGATCACAAGTTTTTTATGGAAAGTTTTGAGGTAAGAAAATGAAAATGTATTCTTTTACACAAAGTTGTCAATTAACAAAATATTTTCTAACACACAGCATGTTCATACTTAGAATCACACCCAAAAATACATTCTGCTTCTCCTCCTGAATATGGGGATACCACATTTGTGAGAGAGTTTTTTTGCAGCCTAGCTACATAGAGGGGCCAAAAATCCTAAGAGCACCTTCAGGCTTTCAAGGGGCAAAGGTTATGCATCTAATTCCTGACTACCTATCACATTTCTCCCCCGGAATGTATTGCACACCTGGTGCTTGCCTGATGCAATTCAGTAGGATGCTCAGTGCTTGATAACATAGTTATCCCCTTTATTCTCGGACCAGAGGTAGTTGTAATTGAACCACTACCTTTCTTAGGTTTATACTCAGAATCTGAATCTAACTGTGAGATCGGTACCGGTGTTGCAGTAATCAGAACACTATTGCTTTCCCACACTGGCACTGGTGGGGCGGCAATCAGGAACGCTGTTGCAGGCTTACAATGCTCTCTGGTGACACTGGCACTGATAAGCACCAATGTTGCTGGCTGCACTGGTCTGGTGACACTGAAAAACTGGCCTGGTGGCTTTTTAGGGAATGTATTGCTGGGTAATACTGGGACTGTTGTGGCTACATTCTGGGACAATGTGGTTGGCTGCACTGATGGTGACAATGGGAAAGGTTTAACTAATGATCAGGGACACTGTGGCCAGCTTAGTGCACTGTACAAAATGCTGATGCTAATTAATGTCGGTAAAACTCTGTTTTCTTTCATAGCTGATCAGAGTATGAAAGGAAACAGAGAGCAAACTTGTTCAGGCCTTGTCTCATTGATCTGTACCTCCGCTTTGTGATCTTGTGTCAAAGTGGATACTAGTGATTATAGAGGCCTATCTGCACACACTAGGCAGCTGTACCTCAACCAGGGTGCCCAGATCTGCTGTGTCTTTGGGTTTCTTATAGAGTGTGCTCTTGCACAAAGAGTCAAAAATTGCCTCAAAATTGTATACACCCTGAGGGTGCCTTAAGGTTTTTCAGGGGTGCCAAAGCCACAGGTTTTCATTGTGCGCCATTAAGGCCTTCTAACTGCTGGCGTCCTAACGACCAATAACATCAGTTGATAAGGAGGATATCAGCTACCTGCACAGCATCCTAGTTTGACCCTCCCCCCCCTCTCCACCAACGCTGAGGTTACAGTAGCTCAGTGATGGAGAAAAACTGAGGGAGAAGAGAAACACTGGAATACTAGTCAGTACCAGTGTGCAAAAGTATATTTGCTTTGGAAGAATGAATCACCTCTAATGTTGGGTGTCCTACATGTGTGGATGTTACTGCGTTATATAAAAACTATTAGAATCGTTTTTTTCTCATTTAGAATGGGGTGCCTCAGGACTGTCCATAATTTTTAAAGGGTGCCTCAGGACTATACTTTAAAGGGTGCCTCAGGACTGTCCATAATTTTAAAGGGTGCCTCAGGACTGTCCATAATTTTAAAGGGTGCCTTGACTGATAAAAGGTTGAGAAACACTGCACTAGAGGGCATGCACAAGAACCACAAAGGGTGGCCATTTTGAAATGATCTCCTGCCCTTAGGAAGCAACAGCCCGGTCATTTATGTATAACAGCCAGATGGCAAGTGATTTAATAAATGTAAAAAGTATAAACTATCATTTCTTTTTTTTCCATGCAAGGAAGATGGAGGAATGCTCGAACAATACCAAAAACGTGTTCTATATTTCAGCTTTTTCCATCTCTAAAATTGGACAATGTCTCCTTCTCATTGCAGTTCTATTGATGTATTTGGTGACTATCTTTGGAAACATGACCATTGCTCTACTGGTGGGTCTGGTTCCCCGGCTCCATACTCCAATGTATTTCTTCTTGAGTAATCTTGCTGTTAGTGATGTTATATTTGTTTCAGTTACTCTTCCAAAACTTCTCTCCATACTCCTAACACATGACCATTGGATGTCTTTCTCTGCCTGTATGACTCAGGTGTACTTCTTCTCATTGTCAGCTGCTTGTGATATATTTCTACTGACCTCCATGTCCTATGACCGATACGTAGCAATCTGTAAGCCATTACAATATTCCTTACTGATGAGTAAAGATGTATGCCTTTCATTGGCTCTGTCCACTTGGCTAATATCTGTGACTTATGCAGCAGTAAATGTGTTATCCACATCTCTGTTATCCTTCTGTCTCACACAAAAGGTTGACCATTTCTTTTGTGATGTGAAAGAACTGTATGCAATATCCTCTAGTGATGTTACAGGCAGAAACATACTTACGTTATGTGAGGACTTACTGTTTGTATCTTTTCCTTTCTTGTTCATTCTGACTTCCTACGTATTCATCATCTCCACCATACTGAAAATTAATTCCTCGGAGGGACGACTGAAAGCTTATTCCAGTTGCACCTCCCACCTCACCACGGTAATATTATTCTATGGTCCAGCCATTGTAATTTACGGCAAACCAGAGTCTGAAGGTTCTAAGGAGCTGGACAAGTTGCTGGCCTTGCTTTACACGGTTGTGGTCCCAATGCTCAACCCATTTGTCTACTCTTTGAGGAACAAAGATATTTTGAAGGCCATAAGAAGTATAAAAAGAAAGTCAACACGCTTCTGAATGTTCCTGATTATACTGTAAATGTTTCAAAATTGTTTTCAAATATCTTTTATTACCATTTTCACAAATGGTTGACTAACCCTAAGGAGTATAACTTGTTTTTTTTTGTATGGTTGAACTGGATGGACTTTTGTCTTTTTTCAGCCAGACTAACTATGTAACTATATGTAACTATGTAATCATGTATGTCTTCAGGATATTGTTTATGTGCCTATTGTTAATAGAGAAAATACAGCAAAAGGCTAATTGGGCTGTAGCAGTGCCATTCGATGGAATAGACAGATACCCCCTCCATCCCTCTGTGAGCTGCACCAAGATGACATTCTGCTTCACTAATGTTGTTCCTCTCCCTCACTGTCCTCCTCTACTATATGTAGCGCACCCCCTAAAGAGCCGCTGGTAAATTTAGTTCTATTCCTCCATTTAAAGCACACACAGGCATGCGCACAGCATTTTCTTCACTCTTCCACTGGCTTGAAGGAACAGTCTAGGGGTGTCTGTTTAGGGTTTTATTGGAATATTGAACTTGGATGAGGAGAGGGGAGCATGACATACCCCAAAAACTGGTGAAGTGAACAATTTGAGGACTTCTTAACTATCTTGCTGAACTGCACAAAAAATGTCCCACAGAATATTTATGTTGACAGTCACTATGACTTTTCCCAGAGACCAGAAGCTACACACAATCACTGACTTTCCCAGCACTTGGATCATTTACTCACAGAGCCACAGAATCATGAGTCGCCTCCTTCTGATATCCACCAATTGCTCTCCTCAGTGAAGGAGATGAAGGCTCACACCACCATAGGACAGCTGGACACTTTCCCCAAATGGACAATGCGGAATCTTCTACCATATACGGTGGTCATGTCCCCCATGGCCCAGCAATTTTGGACCACAATTTTTTCATTTTTAAACTACATTGTTATGTCAGCCAGTCCCCCTTATAAGGGAATAAGCCATTGTTTGTGTCAGACCCCTTGGTCTTCTAAAAATGTTCAATTGAAATTCAGGATCCATGTCCTTAGTGCTGCTAAGCAGAAAGTAGGTAAAGCATGGAAAACCTCCACTCTTTTCTACAGCCAAAACTAAATCCAGAAGCATGCTGACTATGCTACATGAAAAAAGTAGAGGCCAGGGTGTCTGATACAATGCAAAAATACTCAGTAGTTTGATACCCTTGGTTTTCACATTTCCTTCCAGAACTGATGGTATACTATATGGACCGTAGGCCTGGGTAGACAAGGGTCCCTCAACCTATCTCTCTTTCCCTTAGACCTGATCCTTTTTCCCTACTTTCCTTCCTCCAATCCCTCCCCAATGACCCATCAAAAAGATAGAAATTATCTGGACATGCTCAGCCAATACACTTTTGTATGTTCCTGATTATGGAGTAAATAATTGCAATATTGTTTTGAAATATCATTAACCTGCCATATCCACAACCCGTAGGCTATCCTGTTCATCTTTAGGATCTGTATGTGTACCCAGTTTGTTAAATTCTTCATTACTGTATGATTGAAACAGATTTTGTCAACTCAATAAAAAATGTATTGAACCACAAAATGAAAGGAGAAAATGATTTTCATTAAAAAGGTTTTCACCATATACTGTATATAATCTATTTTATTAGATCCAGATAATTTTAACAAGGATTCGGCAAAGTGTTGGGAGCTATCTTCAGGGATTTTGGTCAATGCTTTCTTGACAGCATCATATGAATTTTGCAGTTTTGTAAGCCATACATTTTTGCCATGGACTGTCTCTTTCCAAATCAGTTCAAAAAATCCAAATTCTGGTACATCCATCTGTATGTGAGAGCAGAAACTGAAAATAAACAATGTAATGTTTTTTTCCATTGTTTGGCTGTGCAGATTTCCTGACCCTGTGCCATTATCACTTCAATTTCCTGGTATTACCTGGAAGAGGAAATAGGAAAAACACCAGTTCTTCAACCTACATGCTTGGAAGATGTCTTTAAAGCAATAACTCCAAGCCATTTCTGGCACTTTTTGTTTACATTTTAAAATCAGTGTTTTTTTTACTAGAAAACCCCCAAACATTATATATTTTTTAAAGCAGAGGCCCTAGAGAAAAAAAAGTGGTGGATTTGTGTATTTTTTTTAATGTCACTTTTTTCACAGTTCATGGTTTTTGAAATGCAATTTTTGGGAAAAAAAACGCACTTTTTTCGAATTTTATAAAAAAAAAACCCCACAATACAGAACCCAATTTTTGTAAAAGATGATGTTATGCCGGGTAAATAGATACAAAACATGTCATGCTTTTAAATTGTGCACGCCCCGTGCAACGGCAACAAATTGCGTAACTCTTACTAATCCTAGGACAAAAGCCTTTACAGGTCACCACTTTAGATTTGCAGAGGTCTGGTGCTAGAATTACTGCCCATGATCTTATGATCGCGGTGATAACTCACATGCGTGGGATGATCGCTGTTTGCATGCATGCGGGGCCTTTGCACCTGAGCTTGGGAGGCGGGGGCATTTTTAATGTTTTTTTTTTAATTATATTTTTTATCTTTTATATTTACATTTTCAGTTTAATTTTTTTATCACTTTTATTGCTGTCACAAGGAATGTAAATATGCCCTGTGACAGCAATAGACACGTGACTGGTATTTTTATGGAGGGATCTGGGGTCTATGAGAACCTAAATCCCTTCTCTGCACTTGAAAGCATTCAAACACCAAGATCGCTGTTTTTTGAATATTTTCAGATTTTTAAAAACGGTGCCGAAGGTTTCCCGAGTAAACAAAACGTGATGTCAGATCATTGCTTTCAGTTTACAATAAAGGAGAATAGATCAAAGGTGCTTTGTTTTCGGCTCTCCGAGAGCCGGCTAACATGCTGTCTGGTCACTCAGGACTCCCGTGGGACAAGGGATCCATACAGAATGGCAGGAGGTGGCAATCGAGTGGCTACCAGCTGCTCTGATTGCTTGTACAAGAGAGCCGACCACAACAAACTGGAATGACATACTGCTTCACTGATGTTTTGCCACTCCCTCACTTTCTTCCTTTACTACATCTGGCACCCAGACACAGTCTGCCCCCTCTTCATCCTCATCTTACTCATTGATAAAGTCCATTTGCTAGTAAGCTGCAGGAACACCAATGGTAATTTGCTTCTCCCTGACTGTCATCCCTTCCTCTATTCTCCAGGAGATCTCTTTCTCAATTCCTCATAAACTTCATTTCTGTGTATCTACTCTTCAGCAAGCTACTAATATTGTGTCCAAATAATTCATCGCCTCCTCAAAGCTAGTTTCAAGACAACGGCAGGATTAGCTGTAGAAGAGAAGAAAGATGATGAGCTGCTCTGTGCCTGTGGAAGACGGAAGAAGATGCTGATGAAGGCTTTCCAACTTTAATTCAGCATCTCTGGTGTAAATAACCAGTGATACTAATATTTCCTTTCTGAATATTCTTCTTCTTCCACAAGTGCCAAAGAATTCTCTTCCAGTGTGCTTTTCCAAACTGGCCGCTCCTCAACTTCCGGTTTACAACGTCCGACATCACGCCCAGACGTGTTTCGTCACTTCCCACGCGTTCAACTCTGAGGCTCAGAAAAGGTTTTTTACACACTGTTTGCCAGTCTTATATACGCTGAGACATCTTATTTTTCCCTGTAAGCACAATTTGATCATTAAAGGAGCTTTAACCCTATTATTGCCTACTACACTATGTTGGTTGTACTTTGTCACATGTTTTGATGCCATTTGAGAACTGGATGATCTATACAGCGAGAAGAGCCCCCATTTTTCTAAAGGCATACGGATCTTGTCATCTGAGGAGGAAGAGGGTTCTTTGGCACTTGTGGAAGAAGAATATTCACTAAGGAAATATTAGTATCACTGGTTATTTTATGCAGAGACGCTGAATTAAAGTTGGACTGTTTTTGGACTTTCGGGGGTGAAAGTGTTTTTTTCATTTATTACATTTTGGTTTATTATTATTTTGTGATATCACCTAGTATTATACCGATACATTCACTCACTTAGACGATGAAGGCTTGGTTATCCAGTCTACCATCTTCTCCACATGCTCTGGACTTACCGCTGCATTGACCCAAGAATTCAGTACCTGCACAGCCCCCTATTAGTTGCACAAGAAGAACATTTGCCTCTCCCTGTGGGCCTCCCAGACATGAGGAAAACTTTTATTACCAGTTTGGCTATAGGGGATTGAAGATATGGTACTTTGGTGAACTGATTATTGCAATAAATTGAACATCAACAGTATGCAGAAATGTGCTGCTAAATAAAAGGGAAGCTCTAGATGTGTCAGCAACAAATTTATGCTGCTGACCTCCCCCTCAAAAAATTAAGGATCCTATTAAAATTAATAGGAATATAGAAGTTCAATGGGAGAGTTGGCTTCAATATGGAAGAGAGCTGGCACATTAACACACCTCCATTATTGGCCATCCTTT